GCGGATTTGTGGTGGAACCGTGGGAGTGGCTTGCCGGCCATGTGTTCTCTCTCTCCTTCCTTTTGTGTCTCTGTCCCTTTTTCCTTTCATCTCTCTCTCACTTTTTCTTTCTTCTTTTCTTATTTATTTCTTCCTTTCTTTCTCTCTCTCTCTCTGTGTGTGTCTGTCTGTCTGTCTGTCTCTCTCTCTCTGTGTCAGTGGTGGGTTTCAAAAAAATTTGGAACCTCTTCTGTAGGTGTGGCCTGCTTTCCAGGTCCACTGGTGGAACCACTTCTAACCGGTTTGGTAGATTTGACGAACTGGTAGGAACCCACCTCTGCTAAGAACCCAGTTTTCTCCTCAAAACATCAGGCCCACAAGGTAAAGACACTTTTTAGGGAGTGGAAATTCAACCCCCACTCTCCCCCGCACAGAACACATCAAGAATACTGTTCCAAAGGTTTTAATAAGAAGCTTTGTACAGTCACCTTATTTCGCATATCAAAAAAAAAAAACAAATCAAGACACATGGCCAATCTTTCCCCCCTTTCCATTCAGGCACGCAAACTCAACACGGACTCTTCAGCCTAGAAGGGTGCAGAGGAACGGCCAATGCGAGGGAATACAAATGCAGCTGAAAGAGGCAGGCCCTGTTAAGGGCGCATGCTGAAATAGCCAAGCAACCTCCCCCAGCATCGCACCAGGACATACTGATGGCTCTGGATTCTCCGTTTGCCCTCGTCCCCCCTTCCCCACCCTCCTGGAAAGTCTCCCAGGGATACAGGGACAGGCATCAGTTGTCTCTCGCCAGCAAAGCCCAATGAAGACCCGTTGTCTGCTCAAAAGCTGTAGCAGCACCTGGGAGGGGGGTGGGGGTTTGTTTGGGAGAGGGGCAGGAGTGGATAGGAACAGAGGGTTCAGTTAGGTCCCACCGCCAGAAAGAGACAAATGAACAAGAAGGAAAGGGACGGAGACTGGGGAATCCAACGAAGACTGGAATCATTCGTCCTTCTTATCCTTTTGGCCTTCACAGGTCTCCTGGAGCGGAAAGAAGAAGAAGAAACAGACAAAACATTGATTAGCACAAGAAAGGCCTTCTCCTATTTTGCAAGGCAGATTGTCAGCGCTCAAGATGTGTAAGGGCTAAATTTTGCACGGTTTATTCTGCAATCTTTCTTAGTAAGGAAGAGGAAGCACTACAGTGCTCCACTCACCAGCCCAGACTGACTCCGAGGCGCAAGTAATCCAGCCAAGCCTCTATTTCATTTTTTTGAGACAACCCCAAGCACCACTCTGTAGACTTCCAAGCAGCCAAAGAGGCATTAAGAGTTACCAACTGGTTCACCGACAAATGCCCGATAAGACATATGCGCACCGACAAAACCGCGACGGACAAAGGAGCCCCGTCAAAATCGCTAACTGATTTTCGACAATAGCGCGACGACAAATGCGCGACGACAAAATCGCGTCATCAACAAACTATAGACAGCCCAGTGAGTGTGCTGGGCCTTTAACATAGTGGGACGCGTATACGTATGTTATAACCCTAACCCTAACCCTAAAAAAATTTCGATGTTATTGTGCTTGTCATTGCGCTTTTGTCGTCGCAATTTTATCGTCGAGAATTTGTCGTTACGATTTTGACGTCGCGTTTTAATCAGCGCTATTTTGTCAGCGCGCATATGTCTATCGCGCAATTGTCGGGTCACGTTACCAACTTAACCTCATCAGAAAGCTGAATTCCCACAGTCATTGTGATGTTTGGCATTTGTTATACGTTTTCCAGAGTCAAGGCAGGGGAAATGTACTTGTGTTTAAAATGTTCCCTGAACTCCTCAACCACGCTAGGTAGCTAGTGGATACTCGTCAGCGTATACCTAGAAACTAAATACAAGCAGACAATAGGCCAGTCATAAGACACTGCAACACGAAATATACACAACAGATTGACTCCCTGCTGGCCAATGACTCACGTCAAGTCATTGTCCTTTGTATGCTGCAAGATCACGAATAGTTCAATCTTGGGCAGATCATTCTAGTGTGTCACTCTGGTTTGTCTCCATGACATACTTGCCTCACGCTAGTTATTGCAAACATGACTTACAAAAGTGGTGGTTCTGCGGAAGGATATTCTTATCAGCATTTCTTTCTTGGCAATGCCAAACAAGACTTGTGGTTCAAAAAAAATGTGTGACTCAATAACAGGACTGTGGGTGAAAAAAATACCCCATTACTAGGCACAGAGGTTAACGTCTTGACCAAGCTGGTTTTTTATCCCAACTTTTAAAGAAGTTCTTGTTCTTTAGAGCTTTGAAACTACAGGTAGTCCTCACTTAATGACTGGTCACTTAACCTCCAGATGTTACTTAGGACAGTGTTTCTCAACCTTGGCCACTTGAAGATGTCCGGACTTCAACTCCCAGAATTCCTCCGCCAGCAATAGCACGCTGGGGACTTAGGGGG